CCCACTGAAGAGATGAGGACATGCAAGACTGGAAGGAGCTTTCAGCCACTCCAGTCCGTGGCTATTTCAGATTACATTATACGATTTCTTCTATTAAGTGGAAAGCTCCCTCTTTAAACTACTTAGGGCTTTTCCCTCTCCCAGCCCTTACATTTGGAGCTATTCCAGACCGTCGTCTCTCTGGTCCTTAGGAACCATCTTCCAACTTCCAGATAACATTTATTCATGAACAGTTTACATCTACGCATTCTTCTGCTGATCTTGTCTTGGCTCTTATCACTCCCCACTGTTTCTCTTCCTGATACACTCATAGATGGCTAATGGCCTTGCTCTTACCTTTAATTTCTCAAAGTAGACACCAGGATATTCCAGTCCCCTCTTGTGAGATAAGTCTGATCACCTAACCAGCAACTTGTACAATGGCATTTGTCCCCCTTCTTTCTGGTGCAAGTATTTAATCTCATACCTTCCAGAACTGATTCTGTCCTTTCTGCAGCCTTGTTAACTAAAGGCTATTGTCCTGTGGTTGACAAACACATGGAGAATATTCTCCTCCCCCACTTCCAACCAATAAGCACACAGCTAATACAGAAACAGTTATTTTTGATCCCTAGGCTAAGTACCATCTGTAAGAAACCCTTCAGTAGCCTCCTGAATTTTCCCAAGCTGCCCAAGAAGCACAACTTTCCTTATTTCCGTTCCACCTTATATTTGCAGTCTGGACTTACGGTAGAAAATCTTGTCCTGCAACTTTCCTTGCTTCCTCTGTTGTGTGTCGTCTGCTCCCTCTATGGCTGTCGTCCAGTAGGTAGGACCAACACAACTTTCTCCTGGGAATTGGGTGTCCTTTCCTGCAGCATCTCACTGCTGGGCTCCATATCAACCACAGGGGTTGGACCACAAGGATCCTGCTTTAAGTACCCATTGCATTGTGATTTCATCATTACTGGAGTTGCTTCCAGTGGCTTCTGCAGTTAATATGACAATGTTCTCATTTCATAGTTCTGAAATAAAACCAACTGAACATTTCCAGAGAGCTGCTCATAAATTGTTCTACTTAAAAGCACTGAATTACTGGTCACTTGCTTCATTGCCTTTTATTTTCTTCCTTTTTTTTCGGGGGGTGGGGGGGTGGGGCGGATAGGGAAGAGGAGAAAGGTATCAAAGCAAGAATTAGTCAGTATTGTTCACCTCTATCCCCTACATGGTTCACCCAACAGAGCAAGTAAAGACCTAAGGAATTTCATTTCCTGTTAGTGCGTACATAAAGCCTCCAGAAGGAAAACGTATTTAAAATACAATTTCACAGAAGATGAACGTTTTAGTCAACTGTATTTTGAAGATGACTGAAAATTTAACCTAACATCTAGAAGCAATTTTGCCAGTAAGATTAGAATTCAGTATTTTTTTAGGGAGGAAAAAGAAGTACTTGATGGGGTGAGGCACAATGTGCTTGGCAGTGCAGAGGAGAACTGTACTTACATTAGCATGCACAAATTTTATCTAGGTCACTTCACAAGGCATTTAACTGCAAGCTCCTGATAGGCTTCCATCCAAAGCTTAAGCGACAACCAACTGCCATGGATATACAACCATTAGACAGACTTGCTTCTATTTTTTTACAGTAGACAGTTGCTGGCTTTCAGTATCAGTGAAGGGTCTCAGTACTAGCAAATGCAGACTGACACACTGCTGATTTCAGTAAGGCTACCACGGGGTCCAGAAGGCTACACTGCATGTAACTGTGCTGATGAAAATAGAGAAACCACATACTGCTCAGCAACTTCTTCAGAAATCCATGTGCTGCGCTTTGGAGCGGTTGCTTGCCAACTGGCTGCAAATGAACCCAAAGCAGACACAGAAAAGCAAAACTATCCTGAAACAGATATATTGTTTAAAAAAAAAAAAAAAAGTCACTGCAACAAGGCTGTAAAGGAAAGAAAAAGCAAGTGCTTTGATCTATCAGAAGTTAAGACTGCCACTACAATTTAAGAAAGCAGTAGACAGACAGACCTTGTAGCTCCCAAACCACATTAAAAAAACTAGTCTATTCTTTTTATGGAAGAGAAATTTCGGTCTCCCAGATTTTACTTGAGATGATTGGATATGTTTATCTGGAACATACTGAAGCCATCAGAGCCAGCAGATGAAAAATCTGTGGTAATTCTGACAAGTGTTGGCAAACAGAACTGTCAAGTGAGGATAATGACTTTATATTCACAAAGCACTTTTCATCCAGATAGAACCCAGAGTGCTTTACAATTGTTACTAATGGATTATACACACACATGAATCACTTTGCCCATGACTGAAATGGAACAGCTTAAGGAGTGAACTGTTTAACAGCACATAGCAACACTACACCACAGTTTAGCACAGGATCCAGTTGCAAATCCAAGAGAAATTTAGGAAGGCAGAACGTAATTATCCACATTGCAATCTGCACAGGATGCTGGGTTTACGTTACCCCTCCTCCAACAACTGCCACTGAAAATACGGCAACTGTCAACATCTAGGACAGAACTGTGTCATGATGGGAAGATGACAGGGTACCTTTTTGGCCGCATTTCGGTTACATTCGAGGAGAGCTGAACAAAACTTAGCTGATCCTGCAGAGAATGAGTCACTTCAGGGATGCATGCAGCTATCAAAGTCAGCATTAAATCCCACCTGAAAGGTGGCACCTCAGCCCAAAAAGTACTTTTTGGTAACGTAACAGAGCACTTGCTTGATACTGCACAGAAAGAAAGAAGCTGACACGCCATCACCAGTGTTAGTTCCTCCAGCACCTGTTTCTCATCTGCAAGTTCCCCAGAGGGAAAACAAGGGGCTCTGTTTAATCCTGATTAAACTTGTGAATGAAGGAGCAGAAAGAACTTAAATCTTCTAAGCAATAAAACATCAGGTTAAAGAAAATAGTGCACAAGTGATGAGGAAGGGGTTTTTGGGGGTTTTTTTAGAGCTTCAGGTAATCATATGCTTATTACTATAGTGAAAGTAAGACTAGAATACAAGCAAAAAATATAGTAAGGAATGTTAACACACACAATGAATTTTGGACCAACTTTTGTAACAGCTGTTCCACATTTCAGTAATTTCAACACACAAAAATTAAAATCTGAACTAAAAAATACTTTCAAAATGTTAGAAACATAGGTACAAGCAATTTTTTAACCCCTCCTGAGTCCTACTCTGAAGTCCATGTTCAACACCTATATGAAATGTCAAGGCTGCACCCAGCAGCTTTCACTAATCTTAGTAAGAGCTCTTAAGAGTTCAGTACTTCTGTTAAGCCATATGTTAAGCTGCTTTAAACTGCAAGGCTTGTCTTTTGGTTTTGTTTTGTTTTTTACATTTGGCCACAGATTTTACAAAATTGAAGGTGAAGATTTTCAGTCTTAGTCAAAATTTACTTTTTTACGAAATAGGCTTGAATGCATTCTTTATAGGAAAAAAAAATCAAACCTAATTAGATATACTAATTACTCTGTGGAATGTAATATCTGACACCAATGTTATCCCTTCATCCAGATAAAATTTCTATTAAAATCTTAAAGCATGTTCTTGCTTTTCTTCTCTAACCCTTGCCCAAATTGCCCTGGATTTGGAGCATGTGGAACACCATGATCTTTGCCAAAAGTAGGATCAAACAAACAATTATCTAACACCAAACACAGTATTATGATCATTAGGTTAAAAACCACAACTCATATAAAACCAGGAATTTGCCTACAATAGATTAGGAAACAGGAAATCTTTTAAGGGAACAAGATCTACAGTACAGCCTCCTGAAACAAAAGGAAGAACATCACAGTAATGAATTCTTTGTAACAAACACATAGGATATAACAGCTGAAGAAAGTAAACACTAACATGCTGGATGTATCTTTGAATGACAGGAAGCCAAGGGGAAAGGGTGACTACCAATGGAAAGCCTGGAATCAAAACCAACTCGGAGATTCCTCACGAAGTCAGTGACCATAAGATCTACCTAAAAAATGTAAGTCTGGAAAATTCATTGTCTAGAACCAGAGATTTCACTGCACAAGTATTTAATCTAGGCTGAACTAAATGAAAAACTTTCTCTTTACAGCGGTCCAAGATTAAGCTTAATTTATGCACCTACTTTAGAGGAGAAGTCAGACCCTTTATCAGAATTGTCTTGTTTACTTCACTACTACCCTCAGCAACAAGAACAAAGAACACAACAGTCAGAGAGTTTGGAATCAGCACGAACATCTGATTCCCTTTCACATTAAGAATACCAGGGTCACCAGAGATAACAAAAGGGTACTGACAAAGAAAAAAATTAACTATTTACAATGATGTATATAGAGATGGAAAACATTTGGAAAAAAGCATCAGGAAGGAAAAAGTAAGAGTAAAGTATCTGAAAAACTGCTGTATGTCAGAAATCATCCATTTCCAATAAAAACACTTTTGAAACAAAACTGCTAACAAAACAAAGATGTCTTTCGAAGAAAGAGAATATTAGATCATCTGGCTTTTTCATCATGGATCATATTCCCAGATAGACTGATAATGCAAATCAGCCAGAAGTTCAAGCTTCTTTATTTAGGACTTTCAGGTGGAAAATACTGTATCTAGTTTAATGAGACATCTCCAGGTGGGTTTCTTACTTCTTCATTGCTTCCTTCCACCTCGACCCTCTCTGTAGTTCAGTAGACTGTCTGGCACAAATCAATGAGATGTTAAGTCTTCTTACCTACAGAAATAGCAAGCAGCCCTCTGAAAGGGCTATCTCAACCTGTATTAACAGGTTTTCTAAAACCTTGCACCTTGCATGTTTGTCAATTCCGTTTCTTTGCAACAAGCTCCATCTGCACTTGAAGACTTTTTTGTTTAGTTGAGGTGGCCAGCAGGAAACTTTGGCCTGAATGCGCTGGATGTTGCTTTAGTTGTGCTAAATGGAGCATACACACATGGTTTCTAGACTAGGTATGCAGATGGTTGAGTGACAGAGAGATAATAGAGTGTACCTGGTTAAAGTATCTTAAGCAAATTTCCTGGCACCAAACCCAGCAGAAACAGCACTTGAACAGGCACTTTGCACATGCACTCTCCTGCAATAAAATTAGATGTTTAGTTACTGGACACAGAACTAGACTCAAACAAAACTGCATTTTAGAAAAACTTGCTTTACAGGTGACTGACTCTTCTAATAAAGCAATCACTTAGCAGATATTTCCTTTAGGATTACAGGAACTGTTTTTAATTCAGACCCTTCAGTATTAATGACTGATGAGCACAGCGTATTTTTTTTCTTCCTGTGGATGGAAGATTCGTCTCTGGGAAAAAAAAAGTAAGTGCTGCAAGCAGCTTTGTGAGCTAACAGCTGCTTGGATGAGAAAACAGGCAGGCAAGTCAGTAACCCTTATGGCACTTTGCAGCGATCAGGGAGTACACTGACAGATTTTTAACTTTTTTATTTATCAAAAACCCTTTACAACTCTGAAATGATTGGTACTCTAATGATCAAAAATAAAAGAATGGGCAGAAGCACTTATATGCACATCTGTGTGTACTGACTCAGAGCATACATTCATTTTTCAGGACAGGAGGAGAAAGCGTGTATTAGAACAGATCATTCATTGACCGTTGATCTATATTGATTTCATACTAAAAACAGAGCAGAAAAGCTCAGTGTTTGTCCTACCACCCCCATCACATCATGAGCTCAGAACCGTTCATCATATAAAGATTTTACCAAGCAAGACAAGTAAAAGACATCTTGGTAGCCATGGTATTCTTCCAAATGTAACTGTCTGTTTTTCTCAGCAAAAGAAAATTCAGTTCAGTGATACTTGAGTCTTTTTAACCTTCTTTTTCCAGAGGTCAGAATGTTTGTGTTTTGTTTTGGAAAGCAGACACCATTTAGTCACTGTATGAAAACCTCATGTCCCCACAACTACCATTGTTCATGCAGAAACCACAAACCTCCCACCTTTTTTCCAAATAAATTCTTGAAAATATTCCAGGAATAATTCCTTTAAAATGGTGACTGTACATGCAAACTCCTGACGGCAGAGAAATACTTTAATCTTGCCATGTATTCCTGGAGAGATGATTTTACTAAAACTGTATTAATCTCAGTAAGTACTGTTTAGTAAAAACATAGAGCAAGGGACTTCAACTGCGATCTCTTCTCTGATTCTGCTTGAAGACTGCTGTGTAGAAAACGTCTGTGAATTTACCTGCAAGCTCGCAGACCCCTAACTTTTCCTCCTGTCCACAGAAAACAGCAAAGGTGGCAAAGTCTGGGTGAGCTCTACAAGAATGCAGCATCACTTCTCCATCCTTTACTACCACTACTATGACCCTCTGTGGAAAGGGCCTCAAAGGAAAGGGGCCACAGCCTGTCCTTTCTTCCATTGGAAGGAGCAAGGTTACTTTATGGAGCATCCTTCTGTGGACTGGGGACATGAGCTGTCGTGAGCACTTTATAGCCTCTTTGGCAGGAGTTACAGCTACAGGTCATGTCATATCCTCAGCTGAATCCTTAGCAACTGGACCAAAAGGAGCTTGTGGCACGCTGTTATAGACACAAATAATCTTTCTTTGCTAGTTAAATCTTCTACAGCTATTCAGATTACAAAACAACAAGTCCACTGATTCTGCTTCCTCTAGAGGCAGAAAATACTCTACCTTCTGTCTAGTATAACTCATCCCACCTACCATCTCTAAACAAAGTTCTTAGTTGACCCAACTCACCAAATTTTATAACCAAGGCTTTGATAAGAAAGTGATATAAACCCAGACACTTACACGTCTTTCAAATATCTTATTACAAGGGGCTTTTATTTAAGCATTCACAAACTGTACCCCCCCTCCCCATGCCTCATAGGTATCAGGGATGGTCAATGTAAATACCCTGTCATAACTATATATAACATGCTTCAAGGCCAAGGTTAACTCTAGAGGAAAAAACCTACATTTAGAAACTTTGCCTAAATCTTCCTCTAAAATCAGAGCTGTGCAGTCATGACAGCCCTCCCTGCTTGCCAAAGTGCCAGAACTAACTGCAATGGTATGTTTCCAGCAGAAGATAAGAGATGCGGAGATGCATAAAAGATAGAATGAAGGCAAGCAACAATCAAAACAGCCCAGCTGTATTTTTTATATATCCTAAAAGATGTGGTTTGGATCCTACTCAAATCTCTGGAATAGTTCTTCTTTAATACATTCTTTCTAAAAACTCATATTAAAAGGCAGATGAAATATTTTCTAGAAGATATTTTATATGCAACAATAATGTTCTTACATTTGCTTTTTTAAAATTTATAATGCAAAATTTTAAATAGAGCATTCTGCCGATTTTTTCCTTTATCCTTCATAAAAACCTTTATATAGAAACACTAAATAAAGGTGGGGTTTAATGTTGATGTTTTCTGCTTTTAAAAATACCTGAGTAGACAGGAAAAAAGGAAGCACTGATATCCGAGTTGAGAGGAAAAAAGGAAGCACTGATATCCAAGTTGAGAGGGGGAAAAAAAAAAAGACTTCTTAATGAAGAAAACAGGATAAAATATAAAATCCACATCATATCATCCATTTTTAAGCAAGAAATATATTATCCACTTTTTTTTTTTCATGAATCTCACCTTTTAACTATTTTTATAGTGTTACAGAAGCACATACCTACCTTTTGCTTTAGGACATTATAAAGGTACAAGAGAACCATCCTTGGTATTCTCAGTATTGTGATTAGAAAAGAGCCTTTTACAGCAGTTCCTAGATGATAGCAAAAAAGAACTGATATGGAAGACAGGACTGGGTGAGGTGGAGGGCTACTTTTATTTCTAGAAAGAAAAACAAACAATTTAAAAATGTTTTATAAACTTATTTAGGCAGATATACATTGTATCTTCAGTGTTTGGAAATTTAAAAGATTAAGCTGCTATCTCCTTTCCCACTTGAACAACTCCAGTTTTCCTACTGACTTCATCTGAATGTTCACCTTAATTCAAAGGAAAGCAGCCAAGTTTATAACTTTTATTGGATTAGTTTAATTCTTAAGCAATGACTGTTTTGATGTATTCAGTAACGGAAAAATATCTAGAAAAAACCTACAATGGAAAATACCAGAAATGAACAACATCTGAGAATATTTCCTTGAACACCTTTCTCCAGTTTCTGTCACTTCTCTTTTCTCCACAATCTTTTATTTGACTGTTGTTTCTGCAACATTTTAGTCTGAAGGAATGAATCCTCTGTTTTTGCTTTAGTAGTAAAATTAAAACTAGAAAAAAATATCACAAGCTGTCACATGTAAAATTGAGATCTACTATCTACTTTTATTGTTGCAATTTGGTTGAATTTTGTTTTAAATTTTGTTCAGATAATGAATACTTTTTTTTTCTTCACTGAACAGGTTTTGTTTTAAAAAGAAATACACAAATAAGGAGTATCATAATATATGTTTAGAATTATAATTTGGCCTAAAAACCCTGTAATTCTACTGCACACTAACCTGTATTGTTTTGGAGAAATAATGTGTTTCCCAAAATTGAAAAGCAAAGACAAAAAATTGGCCTAAATACAAGTTTTATTTTCTTGGTTCTTTTATAAAGGTTAGCTTAATGTCAATCACTTACAGAGTAGTATGACACAGCTCTCAAGAATTCATATAAAAACCAGGAAATACACTTAAAGCCACTCCCCCAACCCTCTTCAAATGCTGTAAAAAACCCCAAACACTTAGATTAACACTATAAACACCTTAAAAACATGTTTCAGAGAATTAAAAAAAATCCACTGATCAATAGTCATAAAGAGTCCTTCTATAAAGCAACTCTTAGCCAATTGGCCCAATACTGAAAAATCTACTCAGGCAACAGAACCAGCAGCAGTTTGACTAAGTAGCTGAGTAAAGATCAGACCTTATAACACAAATAACCTATTTTCATAAGTGATTCCTTCCTTTTATCTTGAAAAATTAATAGTTTGCACAAGAAACTAAAAAATAAAAAGGCAGTGGTAAGAGAGTGACTGGTTGGGGCTACAAGGTCTACAAATATATTTTTATTAAATCCTCACTTTAGCAAGGATTTCAATCACACACACTATATGAAGATAGATATCACAGTTCTGCAAGAATCCTGAAGGTATCATTGCAGTTCCTTCAAAACACTAAATACTTCACAGCTTAGAAGTTTTATTTAAATATGTGAATATACCACATTGTTTTAAATAGGAAATTCCAGCAAAGCAGTTGCTGCATTTATTATTTTTGGTCTTACAACTAGGAAACCAGCTTGGGGGATAGTGGAATTTTATACCGAATAAGGTAGCTTGGTTTTTTTAAGTCATCAGGTTTCTGTGCTAGAAACACATACACCGCAATATAGATGAGTTATTCTATCCGTATAATACCATTGTTTCCTTTTCCCTCGTACACTACCTTACACGTAACTGTCTCAGTCAGATCTCAGAATATAAAAGATTAAGTTTCTGCAAGTTAAATGTTAACCAAGGGTGACAAACACAGAAAGGACAAAGTTTACTCTTGTGTCAATAATTTACTTGCTACTTAAGAGAAAAATGAAGAAGGGTTTTGATATTTTTAACAGGACTGATTAATGAGCAGGAGTGTCAAAATTTGAAGTTAAGTTTAGATAAATTTCTACACATTTGGATGCTTTTTCACAACTTCTTTTCCTAGCAAAGGAATTCTTACAAGAACAAGGTCTGACAAGGTTTCTTGCTATGCTTCCAAACAGATTTGAAAAACAAAGATTTTCCTTATAATTCTGGCTCAGGGTAGAAACCATAGGAAAATGGCTAGCTAAACACAAGAGGTGATGCTCGTGACTGTAAACAAGCTGAAGACTGGCTCTATCATCCACCATCATATGCCCAATTACCCTCAAGGAAGAAGTTTCACCTAGCTTTGTACATTATATGCCTGAAATCCTGAAATTACTTTAGCACAAGCATAGTCAGCCATATGCATAAAGTTTTGTAGACAGTTCATATTGCGCAGTGAGTTCTGTGCAGGTAGACTCCACTGCATGCACACAAGTTATCAGGGAAAAACAGGAATCTGCCTGACAGGACTGGTTACAAGACTGAGTAGGGCCACAGCTTGCTTTTCCCTTTGGTATCTTATGTTACCACGGGATTGTTTGATTTACATAGAACACTACCATTCCAAAATCCTGTGAACCTGTACTCAGTAGCATATCATCTTTTAATAATACTCTTTCTTCAATGTTGCCAATTCTCTTTCTTTTCTTGCAAGCTCTGTGACACTCGATACCTTTCTTAACACTAAGTTCCTTGACTCAAATGATCACACATGCAGCTGAGCTTTTATTTTAAAAACACTTTTTTGTGTTAAGAGAAAATGTAATCTTGACACACCTAAAAGATGTAGATGGTCCTGCACTTGGGTCACAACAATGCCATGTAACACTACAGGCTTGGGGAAGAGTGGCTGGAAAGCTGCCCAGTGGAAAAGGACCTGCGGCTGTTGGTCAACAGCTGGCTGAATATGTCAGCAGTGTGCCCGGGTGGCCAAGAAGGCCAACAGCATCCTGGCTTGTGCTAGAAATAGTGTGGCCAGCAAGACTGGGGAAGTGATCATTCCCCTGTACTCACCACTGCTGAGGCTGCACCTCAAATACTGTGTTCAGTTTTGGGCCCCTCACTACTGTTGGTCTCTTCTCCCAAGTAACAAGCAATAGGACAAGAGGATATGGCCTCAAGTTGCACCAGGGGAGGTTATTATTGGATATCAGGAAAAAATACTTCACTGCAAGGGCTGTCAAGCATTGGAATGGGCTGCCCAGGGAAGTGGTCGAGTCACCATCCGTGGAGGTATTTAAAAAGACACATAGCACATAGACGTGGTGCTTAAGGACATGGTTTAGTGGTTGGACTTGGCAGTGCTAGGTTAACAGTTGGACTTGATGATCTAATAGGTCTTTTCCAACCAAAACAATTTTATGATTCTATGACAGAGAAAAAAAAAAGCATTTTCTTCAAAAGCCTGTCCTTCTTTTCAGAGCTCTGCTTACAGTTTTCTTCTATCCTGCCTCACCTGTTTCAAAGACTGCCTAAAAAGAGATTTAATGTAAAATACTTCAGAAGTGTTAAGGAAAGAATCATATATTCCTCAAGTGAATATGAATCTCAGTTTTTAAACAAATGCAATAAATTACAATATCTGTAATAAAAGAGACATTATCTGACTAACAGGGAACACACAGACTGTACTTCCCACTGCCCTTTTACCCACTCTCAAAATCACAAGGGACAGGTCTGACCACATACATGCTGATGGCTCTTTTACATGGGTTAGGTCAAGTATGTAAGCAGGGCAAAGGATGCTCACAAATATTGCAGATGTATTTGAAAAGGGAAGAGGAATCCTTTAAAAATTTGATCCTAGTTCATCTCTCAACAACTTTGGTGCAAATCCATAAACCTGGATTTCTGACTTACTGTGAGATGTATGTATTTCACCTCTCACTGAATCTATTGGAAGTTGTGGTGCTGAACACCTTAAAGCCAGGTGGAAAAACCCAATCCTGCAAATGCTTATATACTTCCTTAATTTCAACTCTGTGTAGTGACATACATGCACTGAATAAGTTCAAACATGGACAGGACAGTGATGCCTGTGACATGGGTTAAGTTACCATACCTTCCTTTACATACACCTTCCTTTAATCCCAGAGAGGGGAAAAGTCTCATCTCACTGAAAAGGTAAACATGCATATAACACCTAAGCACTCTAAGATGAAAATAAACCCTCATGTATAACAGCATAGTAACAAAGAAGGTTTTTTAAAAAGACAGCCCTTTTCACAAGTAATCATTAAGCAAAAAAGTTCTATTTTATTAAATTAATAAAATCTTTGATGTATTCATGTTTCATCTGAAATAAAAGGCAGCAAAACCCATTTTCAGTGGTGGTATTACAGGTCAAACATATGTCACCTGCAAAGCTAATTCAGCTAAAATGAGCCCGTCTTTCCCATTTGCAACCCCACAGTGGCTGTTGGCCATGCAGCACATTGCTGTGTGTGCTGTGGAAGGAGATTTCCGCAGGGAAAGGCCATGCCATTTCCTCGGAGCACTTACAAGAAAAGAAGAAAGCCTCTCTGTGAGGTATCATAAACAAACTCTTGTGACATGCCTTTGTGATGCTGCCCTAGGGAATACATTAAAAACACACAGCAGACAAACTCAGAATTGCTGGAACAGCTTGAGATAACCCTTGCCCTTGATGGTGTAACTGCTCTTGCAGCTAACCATCCTCTTCCCATTCCTGCACTGCTCTGTGTCTCTGCAGATCTGTGCTGACAGTCTAAAGGCCAGGAAGAGGGATCACCACCACAGAAAAATCGCATGTCCCCTTCCAAGCACAACTCTCTCAACACAGTACATGTCACCTGGCAAGCAAGGGGAGGGCTCGACAGTAGATGTACAAAATGATTTCAATACAATTGGGTGCAGAAACCTTCTGTACTCTGTGGCCAGTTCCTGCAGTAGTAAAAAATAGCTGGAAAGCGGAAGACCCTGACAGAGCAGTGAATGTCATCACAGCAGTTTCTACAGGTGCTTCCCTGCTCTGTGTGAAGATATGGATAGTGTCTTTGCCTTGGGGATTTAGATGGCGTATCGTACCAAAATGCACTGCAGCGCACAATCCAGTAAATCAGTGAAACTGCTTTTCTTCCCTGTGCTTTCTCAAGCAAGCCAATCTAAATGAACCCTTAGCGCCTCAGCATTCAGCTGCTAAAGCTTGAGGTACATAAATTTGCTTCAAAAAAATGAGTAGCCCATTACCCACCGAACCACAGCTATGCTAGTTACTTGTGGGTAGAGCTTCAATAGGAAAAAGGAGATGACATAAGAAATGCAAGCTCCTCCTGTTTTGGGTCCTATCACGGCATGTAAATTAGTAGTGTGGGACTGTGTCACTCTACAGATCTCAACCTTTTAAAAAGCAGCAATTTAGGTTTTACCTGCTGTTTTACTAGCACCAGTTCAGTGGCACGTCTGTTGGCTGCATAGAGAATCCTAGCAGAGACAGGCTCCTGATACACATGTTAAACGCTGCCTTGCCTTGGCTTTTTGGATAGGATGACAAAACATCACTTAAAACAATGGTGGGCACTGGCTTTACCAGGTCTTCTAGCTTTGCTGCTTTGGCTGGAGCAGGAAATCCTCACAGAGTTGCTCCTGCAAGCAGGACCTGTGCTGCTGTCTCTGCTGGGCAGAGGGGAACAGACCATTTGGAAACCTTTCGGCAGGAGGCCTTTCTATCAGCAACTGAGACATCCAGGGATACATGCTAGATACCATCAACAGAAATCTGCTACCTAGGTTTTGGAGAAGCCTCCCTTCCCAGCCACCTGAGCCCAACAGTCCTGGGCAGCTGCGGCCAGTGCTCCAGGGTCCCCAGTCCCTCTCCTGCCAGGCTCCCCGGCTCACTCTCACATCACCTTCCTCAAGGGCTAATTTGCCAACAAATCCAGATTATCATTGTATTCCTCTAATACAAAATGAAGAAATGCCTTAAAATGTTGGAGATTTTCCACAGATCAGAAAATCTCACCACAGGGCATAGAAGAACAGAGCAATGAGGGTGAGAGAGCTCATAAAATACTTATGAGGAAAAATGTTTTCAGGATACGACTCTCTTTACTGTCAAAAAACTCAACAATGTATTGTGAGATTTTTATCTTCCCCTGCCATGACAAGATAGCACTGCTCCAGTGCATGAAACCGATTTAATTTCATTTTAAAATACTGCAAGTCTAAAAAACAGTATAACTCATGAAAAGCAGAGATTTTTCCTCATTTCCTCCACATTTACATTTCAAGGTAATATAAAATTCAAGAAAATTTGTTTTGCACATCTCTAAATTCTTAACAGTGGTGTTAAAGCATTTACAGTTAACTGAAAATATCTGCATAGAATGAAAAAAAGAGTAGCAGACTAGGCATTTATGCAGTCAGAACAAATGGAAACCCAGAGCAGGGATGAACACTTAGGAAGAGGTCAACTGAATACACGAAATTACCAAGGAGCTATATATTGCATCTCCATTTGGAGCTAATGCAGTCTCCTGGAAAAGGGTCAAATGCAGCCTGTGCCTTATGAATGCCAATTTCACCAGAGTCAGCTGAGCTCTACTGGCTTCTTTTAAGGCTCAGTTTGGTCTGGTAACTCCAGCAGTAGGGGTGAGCCACATTAATATCATACACATTGTAAAAAAATCTTACTCACAATCTTGCACCAAGCAACATTATTCTATATTAAATTGGGTTCCGAGATATTGACATAAATTGCAGTCTGAGACTATTTTGCTTAGAAAAAGATTGAAATTAAATGCTGGAAAATCCCCAAAACTATACGGGGGG